ACACAAAACCACATATATATATATATATATATATATAAATAAAATTGTGCAAATACATTACCTCTGAAATGATAACAGCCTCTCTCTATAAGGCAAATTAAAATTACTTTCTAAAGCATTTTTAAAGTTTATCGTTTCTTTTGCAGGAACCATGAGTAGGGTTTTTAACATTATAGATGAGTCATTTTACTGCTTATAAAATTTAAATATCGCGGGGCCAGCAGGTGGCGTGATGGTTAAGGTACTGGATTCTCACCTGGCTGACGGGTCTGAGTCAGACTCAGTGATTTGAAACCTGCGGTGATGTATGTGCACATGTACCCAAAATCCCAACAGGAGAATCCCGGATGACTTCGCGGATGACTTCGCACTTTGCCTTTTTCTGTCTCTCTCTCACTGGGGAGCACACTTGCCTTTAAAAAAAAAAAAATGCAGGGACCAGCAGTTAGCGTAATGGCTATGTCGCTGGACTCCCACGTAGTTGACCGCGGTTCAAGTCCCAGACCCAGTGGCTTAACCTCACGCCGGGCACATGTGCGTGTGCGCCCAAGATCCCAAGAGGAGAATGGAGAAGGGATTGCAGCGTGACCATCCCCCCTGGGGGGGTGATTTCTCGCTTTCTGTCTCTGTCTGTCTCTGGCGAGCGCACAAAAACCTCTCCAAAGAAAGAAAAAAAAAATGCAAGTATTGTCAAACTCTCATCACTTGTTTAATGTGTTCAGTTGTAGGTTTTCTCTTAGTTTCTTGCCAAAGAACACACAGAACACCCTGTCTTCACACCAGAATAGATCGCTTCACACCACAGTGTCAAGAAAAGGACTGGAAGAATTTTTTGATGACCCCAAAAACTGGGGGGAAGAAAAAGTGAAATCTGGTGAGATTGGGTTGCTCAATATTACATACATTTATCAAACCTTTCATCACTTCAGGATTATGTGTCCAGGAAATACTTAGGTATTTCTTTTATCGATTTTCTTCGAGAATGCCAAACAGAGAATTAAAAGAACAATATAATAGTAAATTGTTCCTCCACAGGTTAGCAAATGATTTAGAAGAGGAATAGGTTGGAATTATTAACTAAAGTTAAACTTATTTTAAATGTAATTTTTTGGTGGTTATTAAAATGAATTTATAGCAGCATAAAGTGTACTGACATTGTGTCTGCAAATACACCTGTAAGAGATGGCCTGAGTGCTAGTACTAGACATCTATGAGATGGTGGCCTTTCTGAGTGCTAGTACTAGACACCTGTAAGATGGTGGCCTTTCTGAGTGCTAGTACTAGATACCTGTAAGAGTTGATAACCTTTCTGAGTGCTAGTACTAGACACCTGTAAGAGTTGGTGGCCTTTCTGAGTGCTAGTACTAGACACCTGTAAGAGTTGGTGGCCTTTCTGAGTGCTAATACTAGACACCTGTAAGAGTTGGTGGCCTTTCTGAGTGCTAGTACCAGTCATGTTACAGATATTTTCATGTGTGTGATTTATTCATCTATTATGGCATATAATATAATACAGCTATTATGTACGTCACACATAAGGGAACAGGGTTAGAGACGTTGAGTCATTTGATAAAGGCACATAGCTAGAAATATCATTTCATGTCATAAATTTATCATTTCAATAGGAGCTTCATGGACCTGTCAGCAGTTAAGGAATAAAAGTAACGAAGATTTGCATAAACTGTGGTAAGTGTGCCAGGCACAGGGACATCTGTGTCCCAGGCAGTTCTGGCGTAACAGTGAGACAGATGTCCATCCAGTGAGACAGGAGTGAAGCAGTTCACCTCCCTGTGCTGTGGATGCCACGCGTCAATGCAGGCATGAGACCCGTAAGCTTCCGTGACAAGAGGTCAGGTCGTACTGAGACAGTCCCAGCTCTCAGGGAGCTCAGGGCTTAGATCCGTGATGGCTGCTGTCGTGCCGCCACCTTCACCCCAGCAGTTCCAGTAAACTAGTAATGGGAACCTGGTCACGTTTGGACCTCCCTGCTTCTCTCCTTCTTACTCCCTTTTTCATGGTTTGGAATCTCTCTCATGGGGACCAGCAGTTAGCATAATGGCTACGTTGCTTGGCTGCCATGTAGTTGACTGTGGTTTGAGCCCTGGACCCGTGGCTGAAACTCACGCTGGGCACATGTGCGTGCGTGCCCGCCCAAGATCCCAAGAGGAGAAGGGATTGCCGCGTGGCCATCCCCCCAGGGGCTGATTTCTCGCTTTGTCTCTCTCTGTCTCTCTGGTGAGTACACGTGCCCTATAGCAAAAACCTCTCCAAAAAGAAAGAAAGAAAAAAAAAAAGAATCTCTCATGTTTGTTGGAGAGTACATTAAGTGGGAGTTGAGGTAGATCCTTCCAACAGACTCTTCTGATGGATTGAGAGGATCCACAGGACTTAAGACGGCTGTATTTTTGTCTGGATTGTGCTTGTTTTTAACCTTGGGAAGTTTCACACCAGGAATGAATTGGGGCTTCCCTCGGGGGCAGCTGGCTGGTCCGCGCAGTGGCCGCCGCTCGTCTGGGAGAGCAGAGCACACCCTCTCACCAGCCTGCTCTTCCACCAAGCCCACTTCATGCAGAGATGCTGTCTGCCTGTGGGCTCTACGTAGCATGTCGGTTTTTATCCCGATTTAATTTTGCTTTTATTACCAGAGAGAGTCTGGCACTGCCTCCCACCGTGGCCACGATCCTCATTCCTCCACTTCCCCGTCCTGTTGGGAACTTTGGCATGTGCACACATGCCCAGTGCATTTTTTTTAAACCACCAGGGCCAGGACTTGAACTACCATCAGCTATGTGGGATCTTGCTCCCTATGCAAAGCATGTGACCACTGTGCTATGGGGCAGGCCCTGTCCCCTGAGTTGAAGGGCTATTTCCACGGCAGACTGGAGAATTGTAAAGTGCCTTACAAGCGACTAATATTATCTATATGTTTATTACAGAAAAGCCCGTTGTATTAAAGCACTGTTACTGTGCATTTTCAGTAATAGTAGATATTTGGGGCTGTTTTAGTGTTCATCGGGACTTAAATAATCTGCCACTTCTTCCAAAATTGTCTTCTTCCATAATATTAAACACCATAAGGGCTGGCACTGTGCCCTGGCGTTTAAGGGAACTGATCTCACACGGCCGACTGCACGATTTGAATCCTGGCGCCGGCAGCTCAAGGGAACCATGCCCAGCACACGTGCTGACATGCCCGAAGTCCCAGCATGCTGGCAGAAGAGAGGCTGCAGTGTGGCCACACCCCACGGGGTGGGAGGGGAGGGTCAGGGCTTCCAGTTTCTCAAAAAAATATCTTCCCTATTTTCAACACCCTCCACATTTAGGTTTTTTTTTTTTTTTTTTTTTTTTGTGGGTTTTTGTTTAGCGCACATCACCCCACGGTTTTTGCTATAGGGCACATGCACTCGCCAGACAGAGAGACAGAGAGACAGAAAGCAGGAAATCATCCCCCAAGGGGGGTGGCCACATCGCAATCTCTTCTCCTCCATTCTCCTCTCGGAATCTTGGGCACGCACACACACGCACCCGGCGTGAGTTTAAGCCACCGGGCCTGGGACTCGAACCGCGGTCGACTATGTGGGAGTCCAGCGACATAGCCATTATGCTAACTGCTGGTCCCTAATTCTGGTTCTTAAACAGACATCACAAACCTTCCACTTCCGCTCTGCCGCTTCTGTGCTTGCTTGCCTCTCCCTTCCGTCCCAACAACGCCCTCCTCTGATGCCTTCCCCTTCATTTCAGCCAGAAGAGAGGCCCGTCTCTCCTGCTTAGCTTGTCCGTCTTTCCTGCGGTGCTTGTCCGTCTGCTCAGTGTGCATACCACATCACCGTCCTGGAGACAGTCTGGAAGAGAAGCCGTTAAATAGGCCTTGCACACAGGGGTCTGGGGCTGGATTCCGGCTAGCTGTGACCCAGGATGCTTTGCCTGTCCCAGCCTGTTTTTGTGTAGCAGGTAGAAACAATTCCAGCCTCACGAGGTGGTTGTGAGAATTAAACCAAATCGTATATATAAAGTGCCCACATGTATCGGGCACTCAGTAAATACTGTCTTGGTCATCTGCTCTCTCCGCTTGGACGCTAGGGACTGTTTCATGCTTTTTTATAGCCCTCCTGGCATCTCCTGTAACGTTGGGTTGTCAGAAAAGCCATGACGTGTTTTCCATGCAGAAATGCGTCTCGACTTTCCTGGCGACCCAGTATGTGGCACACGGAAAGATCTTTGAACTCATGAGTACACACCTGTTTCAAGGATGATTCTTTGTAATGCTATTTTGCATGCTGAGATTCCAAAGGACTTCTGAGCAGGGTGTTCGAGTCCTGTGCCAGAAGCCACGACGGTCAGCACGAGCACCTCCACGCAGTGTCACTAGCTCTGGCCTCGCACAGGTACGTCCTGCTGA